GGTGTGATGTAGCAATCCATGTATATAGGCGTCGGTTGCCATTACGTCAAAAGAAGCTGTCATTTGTTTGATATTCTAATTACATAAAAATAACGTAAACATATGAACGATATCTACATTATTATTTTAAATACGAAAGTGTGTAGGTATGTCTTTCTACCTGCCACTCTGTTTATTATCTAAACGACTAAACGGATTGTAATGACATATGACATGAAGATAAATTATATGACAATTGAGGAAGTTCAGTTATTGTTAAAAAAAAGTAAAAGGCAAAAAAAAAATTGATTGTCTCATTCATAGTATTGATATAAAAGTACTATAATAGACAAAGCACTGCAAAGAGCTTTATTTAATTTTTTCTAGGTTAATATCATTGTTACAATTTGCGTATACAGTCTAAATTTCTGCTGGACATCCAAATCATCGAATAAATAATAAAATAGATCTCGATTGGGTTAGATACGGGCGATCTAAATCGAGTTGGGGACAATATAGGATTGGTCAGAGTCTCGTTAAGTACAAAGAAATTGAATTTATTGGGCATTGGCATTTTTATACATTCTATGTTGTAGGGAGTATATAGCATACTAACGTACTATCAAATATTCATTGCAATATTTACAATGATTGTTCTGCTGAGTTTCTCTAAAGTTCTGAGTAGTTCTCTAATGTAGAATATGAATTCTATGTTTATATTGTCTATTAATTTCAATACAAAATATCAAAATGTACATTACATTGTCCAATACTAGTAATTCTAAAAGAAGCGCTTGCTTATATTTAGACAATATAATGCAATTTTTTTTTTTTTATATTTAAATACATTTTTCCACAGACATATTCGTCCGTGCCTTTTTTAATTTACTTTAATATTATAATATTTATTTAATTTCCATTTTTGTACAACTCCAGCCGAGATGTTACAATTTGCCTAACAGTGACACCGAGGCAGACCTTATCCGTCTGGCCCAGAACCACCGCTGGCCGGCCGGGTGAGTTGACAACATGCAGTGTCACCCATCTTTATTTGGAGGATTAGATTTATCAATATGCATATACAATTATATAAATCTTACACTACTACTAATTTCACAGTTTTCATTACATTGTGCAATGTAAGAATTCATAATGTAACAATACACAATATGAATTCTTACACTGCATATACAATTATATGAAGTCTTATTTTAACATTATTTTCAAAGTTCACTATTTGTATTCACTATTTATAGTCCAGGTTTTGTTTAATTATTGATTGTTTAATTTCACAGTTCACTTTTTGTCGTAATTCGGCAATTTTTTTTTCCCTTTTTCACTTCCCTTTCCCCTTTTTTCTTTCTTTTTTTTTTCCTTTTTTTCTTTTTTTTTATACTTTTAGCGAGCATGTTCCGGCCTTTCCAGTCCAAAGCGCCCCGACGATGCATCAGCTGTTCTGGTTTTCTATGTGCTGATTATTTTAGCGCAATCAGCGCATCAACGATCGCCCTGTCTCTATTTTTAATCGCCATCTGCAGTGAGTACTCACGAATGTCCGAGTGAGTCGCGCCTTCGGCCTCTTGTATAAAACGAGCAACTGCGTCTTCTCGATTTCTCGTATAATATACGCAGTCGCCTGTGTGCCTGGTGATGGCTACCACGGCATGAGAGTAGCTGCCATGCACTTCCAAGGGTTTACTTCTAGTATTGATGATAATAACCCTCTCCGATGTCAGTCCCTGGGCCTCATGAATCGTCAGCACTTTAGACTCCTCGTCCATTCCATATCCCTCGGATATTAGTTTTGCTTTCTCCGCTTGGGTATGAACCAGGTATAGAGTCCTGCTTTGGTCCGATGGTATGACTTTGCTGTCGTATTCCATGAGCCTCAGCGACCTAATCCGGAGGTTGGTCGAGTATATCCCGTTGTATACTTCTCTCAGGGCATACGCTACATCCAAGGGGTTTCTGTGAGTACATAGAAACTCCCTAGTAATACCTGCTGATTTGTTAGGTCGCTCGTAGGTAATTTCAAATAGGTTATGCCTATCTATAACGGGGAGTTGATTTACGTCGCCAATAAGCAGGACATCTTTTGCTTTGGCCATTTCTGCTGCTAGCACTATGGCCCCAAAGTGGTTCATAAGGGCTTCATCCACTAGGATGCGGGACACATTTGTATTGTCCCTTTTGCCGTTAACCAACCAAGAGACCATTGTTCTCACCCTTTCTCCTGTGTTTTTCGTTGTCTTGGCTTCCAGCTTGTTCCTTAGATCCTTGGCCGCTTCCACGGTGGTTGTGACAATCATGTCCTTTTTGTGGTCGTAGTTGTTGATGATCCACGTAGTCTTCCCGCATCCCGGGACGCCGTTTATCCACTCGATATTTGGGATGTTCCACGCTTCAAAGGATATGTCCCTGCACCTCGCATCAGCTTGGCTCAGGATCCTATCGTCCAACATAATCCTTGTGCATGCCGCAACCAACAGGATATTATCCTGTGGGGGTGCGCGGAAACTCGGCTTCCCGGTTTTCCTAGTCTCCTCCGCGTCCAGCGTGACGAACCCCACGGACTCGCAGTATGCCGCCATGTATTTACCAGTATATGCCCCTAACATTGTGGTCTGTGTGTTGTTGTCATACAAGGCGGCGTCCTCCCTGTCCAGTTCGTCGACAATCGCATCATCACCACCCTTCTTGTATTTTTTTATTAATTTAGCACAGGTATTTTTGTGCAGGGTATGTGTTGCCACGACTATCGCTCGATACTCCAGGAAGGCGTTGATAATATGATCCTTCGGGTTCCTCACTGGACGGAGACAAGGCGGGTCCACCAGTCCCAGATCTGCCTTGGTTGGATCCTTGTACTGCCGCTTGGGTTTCTTCGCGGCAGGTCTCAGTGCCCATTCTATGGCTTCCTCTTGGCGTGTTATCCCTATATGTTTACGGATAGCCCCTCCGGCCCTCTTTGACACCGACATAGCTGCCGCGCCCAATGTTCTAGTTAGAGCCTCTATTCGTCTCTCTGACGTTATAGCTCCGTCGATTTCCTGCTCCCTCTTCGCTTCCCGATGTTGCTGTTCTCTGTTCACTGCTTTCTGCTGTAATATAATGCAATTGAAATCTTTAAGTTTGTTGCAATGGAATAGGAAGATATTACTCTTTCACAGAATAACCCCTAAGCGGATTGGAACGAAATCTATATGTATCTATCTATATGTAATCTACACAGATAGTTTCTAAATTAATACATAGGATACACTTTGCTCAAATTCCGGTAGACAACGCCGTAGGATATAGGGAGTCTGAAATGAATCTAAATAATCAATACATTTTTTTTACAACAAATGAATAACACCAGATCGTCGTAATGAGTAGGATACCCAAATTTTTAATTGCTCTTTGCACTCAGTACTATGGCTAAAGATTACAGTATAGGTACTTATGAAAAAAACCTTCCCATAGCATTTATGCAATGGCATTTTTTTTAATGGAAAATTTTGACGCATTAACTTACACAGCGCATTTTACCGTGTTGGTAAATAATAAATGAGTTATGTCCGCACGTATACCTAAATATATCTAAAACAGGAAGGTAACCATGACCACGCTTTGCCTATCTAATCCTATATTCAGAGATTGTATTATATTATAAAGAGGCATTTTGTCCATTACTATCTGGGGAATTTACGCTATTCATGTACGTATAGTACCTACAAGCAGGCACAAGCAGTATATCTTATAAGTTTTCTTTATTTTTGTATTTAATAAAATGGGTAGACATGTAGGTATATAGATATAAAGATAAAGAAGAAAAAATACTCTATGATAATGAGTAAAGTGCAATTTATTAATCATAGTCCCTAATAATACGTCATGGGCATTTTCTATTAAGTTTTTGATTAAAATATCATTTATTAGTATGAATGTTTACATTATTAATATCTCAAGTCGCAGCAACTGTTTGTAGTTTCCCTCTCTGCTACACGACGGGGTCGACTCCCGCACGGTAATCCATGGAATGCTAAGAAGTTCATCTCTCTCTTTAGTCTGAAAAATAATTTGATATGCATTATATAGAAATATTAACTTGAACTTCTAACGCAAATAAAGCGAAGTACTAAGCCAAATGAAAAGGATTTATATACAAATATTTTATATCTACTTATACACAAAGCATTAGATTGTAGGCGCGTAATTTATTGGAGTTTCGTAAGGGTCAGGTGATCAGTTTTGGTATATTTGGGTCCATTTTAGAATATCGTTCTCTAAACCTTACAATACGCATTACCCACAGTTTCAGTATATGTACAGTATTATAATATTTCACCGATTTATCTATAGATTTGAATATATTCAAATAGCGTTGATTGTAATGTTTATTTACTTTATTATAATTTAATTTCCGTTCATACAATATAAAATATCATTAAAAAAATTGAATATAGAATATATACATAATAATCTCCTCTTTCATATATATTCTCAAATGAAATTGTTAATAGCTTATACTTCTAGGCTACACATAAAACTCTGGGGAAATATAGGAAATCTGCCTTAAACTCGGGACCGACATTGAAATGGAACGAGCGGTGTCATATGTTTGATGATGTTAGGTGTTTTATGAATTCAATTATTTGTTTATGTTATTTACCGATATTTAATGATTTTATTAATAACAATTTTCGTTTTAACACATACGTACGTTATGATATGTTGGATACATACATAATAATGATATTTCTAGTGTATAAAAGTATGCATGTGAAGGATCGTGATTTCTACACAAGCTTAGTTAGTTTCTGATTATTCATATTTGTATTATTATATAAATGCATTCGAGTTAGGTATTTGTTCGTGCCATCAGACGGTAGAAGCGTTGAATGTTCGCAGAATTAAAAATTCTCTGCACTCCCAATAAAAGTATTAGATAAATCATAATATGAAATATTATGATAATATCAGAGATATAATGAATAGCTAATGAATAGTAAGCTTATATTCTTTGTCTTTATTCACAGGTAATAATATCCAGGCATCAAGCCTGGGGTATGTTGAACTCGCTTCTGCGTTTTATTAGTCACCATTCCGAAATCCCGGCAGAAGACACCAAGATGCAAACGAAAACAAAGAGATAAAAAATACAGAAAGGACAAAAGTCCCACCATGTTCTCTTTAGCGGAAGGGTGTGGGTGTGTGAGTTTCCGAGGAGGACGCCGAACTCGATCCCTCGGAGATGATTCCTCCTCCTGCCGAAGCTCAGAGATAGAACAGGAGGTCCCGAAAAGGTTAGGTCGACGAGTACTCAATGGAGAATGCACGAGGAAAGCGTTGGCTCCGTTCCTAAAATTCTGGAGAAGAGATGATGTGAGCATGACAAAGGCAGAAAGGAGTAAGTGTTTTACATTTTTATATCTATTAGTTATTATTATAAACTGTAGAATATTTATTTACGAGTATGTCTATATGTTTATTGTTATATTATGGGTTAATTTTGTTATTGGAATGACAACCAATCAAACTACAACCAAATGACGGGCCTTCTCATGATAAGTAGAACCTTCAGTCGATACTCAACTTACAAAGCAAACTGCTTGACGGCAACGGTTACTTAAAAACTTTTTTGAGTGATTAACATAATCTGCGTTTTTATAACTGCCATAAAATGAATTGAAACAACTTTAATTTTTTGTCTAGTGGTCATACCAAGTAGTGTTCGATTGTAAGCGTATAAAATTATAATTATATTCACAAGTCCCAATTTAAGTTGTTTCATACTTACCCAAACGTTGAAATTTAAATGCAAGACAAAAAAGATTTCTTTCCAATTTTAACATAACATTTACCTCCATTTACATCCAGGTGTAAATAAATGTCTCACGTATTTCAAATATTGTAAATTTCATGCATAACTAAAGCTGAGCATGTCTGTCTTATTATCTATATATTATAATACTACCTGCTTTCTGTGACTTCGTCTGTTTTATTTAATATAAAATATAACCTATATCCATCCTCGTGATATAATACATATAATATATCTTAACGTAAAATTTAATTAGGATCTGTTCAGATTAATTCGCGAAAATGTAACAAATAGACATAGATTATACACATCAATCATAGTGAAATAAATTGTATATTTACCAAAACTTTAGATAATATATTAAGAATTTTTTTAATAATTTATTTACACAACCCCAGTTGTGACCTTGCAGGTTTTTATCAGGTGTTTCGATACCTTTATATAAGGTTTCCTCAAGAGACACCATTACAGAAAGCAGTCTAATTTATTACTTATTGTAGAAAATATGGGTGTTAAAAAGATAGTAGAGTAAATATTCTGTAGGTTAATGTTATTAACTGTATATAATTGAAAGATTCAAGGTTTGATGTAAATTGAATACCAAGGAGTCTTGTCTAGTTAAATATACATAAAGGTTAGGGAAGACAGGTTAGGGTGTCGGCTGTTTATATGTTAATGTAACTTGCGGTATGCAGATACACAAATTTGCATAACTCTAAGCATTGCCCGTGGTTGTACCTGCGCCGAACCCTTTATTTCCTTTCCTTTATATAGTATATAAGAATTTCATAGTAAACTACCTATAACTATGTTAAGAAAATAACGTGTGTGTACCTACATTCAATAAATTTATTTAGTTAAAATCAATTTTACTTTGATAAAATAGTTTGTTGTTGTATTACAACATTACACATGTTTTTTTATAATAATGATGATGATGATATACTGCATTCAAGTGCGTGTACGGTAGACTCTAGATGGGCACTTGTGGAGGATATGATGATGATGAAGTGAGGTGAGGTCAGTTCACCTATTGTTGCGAATTCGTCAGGAATTTATAACGATATTTTTCATATATATGAAATGGGTATATCGCTAGCAATGTCACTATTATTAATAACCCCTTCTCCCTGGTAGACATGTTGAAATTAGTGATCAGGAACGTGGGCGTCACGTCCGCGTCGTGCGAAACCCTTGTTTTCAAGCAAGCCTCGTAAATGATCTTGTACGCATTAGTCTTCCTAGGGAAATCGGTTTAAACTCAAGATAAGATTGTATATATATGCGTAGGCATTTTAAAGAGTTAAAATACCATTATACAATTATGGTCGAATCCTAGCTAATATTATAAACATGAATGGTAGTTTGTTATATTTTATAACCTTAACGGCTTAATCAGTCATCGTGCTTTTTTTGTTATAACGAAATTATGAAAAGACATTTATAACGTATCTAAATTGAGAGGGGGAGGGGATTCTTTGAAATGAGGAATCAGTAGCATATTATCACGTCAGATTGACAGCCATGCAGTTGTTCTGGAAATCATCATCATCATCATTAATTTCTAGTCAAATTGTTACGATGAGCAAACTAACATTACTTAATGCAAATGCACCATTCCATATCTCTAACTATCTAAAACAGGTAAAATAGTGCTAGTAAAGTTAGAGGTAATGATAATATCTATGTACTTTATGTCCCTAGAGTTTGTACTCCATATTCATGAGTGAATAATGTTTATGGATATTGTTCTGGTAACTTTACATGTGTGTCACACAGGAATAGAATTAGAAATTTATAACACAAACGAGTTTAAACATTTAACAATAATATTTATTTTAGATATTACTTGTGTAATAAAATAAAGTCGATATTCGTCATTTTCATCAGCATTTCTATTACAATATTTCCAATTACTTTTATATCTCTATAAAAGTAATAGAAATGCTCATTTATGCTTATTTATGTTCCACAGTAATCGCTCTAACCTCTGAACTCCTGTCATACCAGCTCAGCTTCATCAATCTCCGTCTTAGTATTGGCACTACCTTTCGTTTCTTTAGTCTACGATGTGCATTACCAGTATTAAAACAGTATTTTATATAAATACTACTTATAAAACAAAACCTAACACTTTGTATATCTACATTTTGATTGAATGCGTTGGGATAAGAAACGCTGTATTTGGGTTTATTACTTAAATTCCCAATTATTTTTTGATGTTTGGTGGTTATTTTCAAGAGGATTAACATAAACGTCTGCTATAAGTGGCGCAGGAAGTGATAAAATATATGAATGTTTTTAGTTCAATCAGAAACATTTAATATTAAATGTTGATGCCAACAGCATCACTACACTTTTGCTGTAAAATGTTTTGCGTTCGTTGTACTCTCTAATTTATTTATTATTCTTTTTTTTTCTTAAATGGCTTTAATTAAACCGAGATTAATATTGACTAAGTACAAATTGTATATGCCAATTTCATAAATGACCAAATATAGAAAATATTTGATCATTTTACATTTATCAACTAATTTAAGTATATCAAAAATACCAAAAAAAAACCTGATATAGGATATCAGGATTTTTTTTGCGGCGTGAAAATTATTAACAGTGGAGCAAAGAAATCTAATTCAGTTTTATACAGGAAATCAATATAGGTATACAAAAAAGTCTAACATTTACAATTATGTCTCATTAACTACTTTTTGATGCTAAAATATGCAATAGTAACGCCGGTATAAATTAGAATGATGATATTTTTGTAAAATACCCGTGTGAAGCCGTAAGCGGATTGCTAGTATAATATATGTATTTGATTAATTATGGTGAATACTATATACACTATAGAGCGTTTTAAAGGAACTTCCTAAATAATACTTGAAATAAATACGACAAATATTTATCACCCACTTATCTTTTTAAGTTTCAAAATCAAAGTTGAAGAATATTATTGAAACTATTAAATTAAGAAAACATATTGATAACCAAGTTGGCTATACTAATACATAATTATTTTACAGCAATGAAGGCGGCCATACTGATTCAGCAGTGGTATCGACGGTACTTGGCGCGAATGGAAGTTCGAAGGCGTTATACCTGGACGATCTTTCAAAATATTGAATATGCTGGAGAGCAGGACCAAGTCAAGGTGAGTTACTATACTTTCATATTATAAAAACAATATTTATCCTCCTTAGAAAGAACAATGGAGTAATATACGAAATTTATTATTATTTATGATGATTTATTAGAAACAAAAGGAATAAAAACCAATTACCTACTTCAACACATTTTTCAAAGATGTTTGAAGTGGGGTTAAATATTTTTGTGTAGGTAACATAATACAGTTTAATAGTACAAAAATATATTTATATATTGGGGAATATTTCATTTATTATACAAAGGGGTAGTCACCGAGATTATCTTCTTTATGATCTCCCGATATTAATATCAAGCTCCCAACATAAAACTAGGAAAAAAGTTTCAAGCAGACTTCATCTTGGCATGTTTTTTTAATGAAGTAATAATGTATATATGAACATATATGTAGTTAATAATAGCAGAGTTATAGCACAGAATGGGGATTTTGTATCTATACTGATATATAAAGCTGAAGGGTCTCGTTGTTGAAACTCGCTGATCTTTGGAACTTCTTGGAGTTGAAAATACCTTTTCCCATTTGATAGCCCAATTTTTAAGAAAAGTTATAGGCTATTTAACATCATACTTCGCCATTAAGAGTCCGACAAAGTAACAAAATAAGAGTGAAAGCTAAATGAAAATGAGGTAGATAAGAGCACGGGTGGGTGTTGCGATACAGTGCAGCGAGAACATGACGAGAGGGGTGCCGTTTCTTTTAAATTATATGGTGTATTAAAAAGATTCTAATCAACAAGCTGTGCCTTGAGGTTTCACATGGCGGCTGGTACTTATATATCTATTAATAACTTATTTAATGAAAATGTTTACTAAATATGCCAAATATATATGAAAATAGGATACAAATAGTATTGTCTGCTAGGGAATATACAAAACTTAGTGACATAACATTGCAATGTTAATATGAAGCGGCACGTGTGTCAGAGCAATCGATGGGAGTAGTATTAATACTATTAATTTAAGTATCCTCCCCGCGGTGTGCGCCGCAAGTCTCTGTTATTACTGTCACGTATTATATTGCTGTTGTGACGGTTATGATATTATTTACCAAAGTGTTCTATATCATTTACATCATACATACACATTAAAAATATATATATATTAAAAAAAAAGAATATGAAAGTAGTTTGACACTGAAGTTAATTTCCTACGAATTTATCAACATGAAAATCGGTCTACGAATGGTACCGTCATTATTTTCATTATTAACAATTCTCTCTGCCGTACCTAGCGGAAAGATGTATGGCGATAATACTATGTTATTAGAGTGGATGGCATTATATCAATAATTTTGTGTACACTGCTGAACATAGGTTTCCCTTTTGAATTATTATAAGAAACGGTCCTGAGTCAGACTTCATTGGCCTATAATCAAAGTCGAGGATTTACGCTACTGTGTTTCATGATGTGATGTCCTTTGATTAAAAATGATAGTAGTTCTTTAGCTACATTTAACAAATGGTGGATTATTAGAATTAGATTTTGAAAATAAAAATGGCATTAAGATAAAATTACAATCTGTTGGTTTTGGCACATAAATTTGAATAAAAAGACAATTATTTAGATTACTGTTATTCAGGCACACGACGCCCGCTGGCAGGAATGTCGAGGGATATGGAAATAATCCCGTCACACATCTCCATCACTGTATTTCGTTTTATAATCAGAATTTACAACAATACACCACAATTGTCAATTTTATTAACAATGAATATGGGTCTCTTTGATAACGTGTTCCTGGTGAAGTCATGTGTTATATTGCTTATGTAACTCTATTCTGAAATTTATAATATTTTTTTATGTTCATGGAATAGAAAACAAGTTGACTGGCCATCTTATGGTAAGTGGCAACCGCTGTCTATGTACTATGGTCCGAGTCCGAGTCAGAGATGTTAATCATCTCGGACCTCACGTTATGATACGATGGCCATGGTATGTGATGATACTCAGCGGATCACCTCCTATCTTGTAATATAACTGCTATCTATGCCGAAATATAACTTACAAAACAAGTTTCAGTAACTTTAATCGAGCAATACTGGATTTGGATAGAAAACATTACTGAGGGCTATTCTTTTTGTTTGTTTTTTAAATATTTAGGTATAATCATATATGGTCATATAACACATTTACATCTTATACGTATTTATTTTAATTAATTTGGACTCGATAATTATGCAAATATAATATAGCAAAGGAACACAGAAAATAGAGACGAATTTACAACCTTCTCCTGTTTGACGCCCGTGTTAATAAAATGGATACGGTGTTTGTTACACAAATTTATTGCAAACATTTTATCATAAGTGCTATTATGAAAGTTGTTACCTTATAATAGAGGCAAGCATACAACCTTTTTTCATGTCAATTTAATAAAAAGGATACTCATTTGGTGTTTGTTATATATTCATAAGGGCTAATTGCTGCTATTTTGTTTCTCTACGTAACAACTTTTCTTATGGAAGGTATAAGAATTAGCTACAGGTCAGTCTAAGATTTATGGTTTGACCAACTTGAATATTTACTATAATCAGATGTATTTGTAATACTTTTGAATTGACTTGTGTTTATTTATATACATGAATAATATATTTTTCTGATGTCAATAAATTTAACAAGATAATTGTATTGTGTATATAATTGAAACCAATAACATTAAAATTATTTTATAATATTAAAAAGTTCCGAAACGATAAAAAAATACTGATGACTACTAATTTGTTCCTGAACTTTCTTTTTTGTAACATCGTTTTTTACGTATATAGGTAGGTATAGATAAAATTTAGAGGTAAAATTCATAGTACAAATTTTCAATTAAAATAATTTTGATATAATATATGAAAATGAAAACGTTTTACAAATGAGACTGAGGCGCGAATTTTCGTTAATCTTATTAGTTCGTATACTGTTATGTTTATAATATGTAAATTACTCAAAATTCCATTTCATATATTGATTAGGTAGTACTTAAGCTTGTTTAGGAAGCGAATGAGTTAGGTAATATTTTATGTATAGTCTATATAATTATCGTGAATAGTTTGCAGTGCGCTTCATTTATCTGCGGTTCACTTAAGTGACATTGTGGATTTAGTACAAGTCTGTGGCTTTGGAGATTAGCTAACTTTAATATTAAGTGGGGGATCAGTACAGCAATATAGCTGTTGGTGAGGTGTGTCGCTCCCATTCATTCACCGTGTTCACTGAACATTTCATTCCGATCATTCGATTTCACTGAACAAAGTTATGCACAGAAAAGCTCTGTTGATAGATTATACCGTGACCACATTATTTATAAAATACTCATGTACCTAGAGAATACCAGTATGAATAAGGTATTTAATTTTATAGTGGGAGTGATAAGTAAACAGCCAGTTAAATAGTCCAATCCATTTATGTATCCACTGTCTATTTTTTAAATGTAATTAAACTAAACCAAATAAATCAATAACAGATTACAGTCATTCATCATTGTTTCATTGACCACATGGAATGAGTATTTTGCCTATATTTGTCTATGTAATTTAAGAGTTTAAAAAGCAATCCAATGTCATTAGATTGAAATTAGTTTCTGGAGTTGAACGGCTGATACGTTAAGAACTTCAAGGACATTTGATTACAAAATTTATTAATAAATAAAATCAGTGGTGGCGAAAATTAAGCTGATCATTAACTGAATGTAGGTATATTAATTAATATATTAGATTCATTAGTAATATATGTATACTACATATAATATATTACATTTCTAACCAAAGAAAAAGATATAAATTGGATCTGAAGTTAGACCCATAGTTAGTTAGATGATCCAATGGTTTTGTTTCTTTATCTATTCAGTAGGATGACCGTGATCGTTGAGGTGAAAATATATTTTGTCTATAGAGTTTTCTCATTTTATATTATTATATAAATCAATAATATATAAACCCTTCGATTTAATATATTGAAGTCTATTTTAAATAAAAAAACAATTTATTTTATTCTGCGTTGTTCGTTCCATTGGTATCCTACAACGCACTGCATTTAATTGTCTTACATTTTATTAAGTACTATAATTAATATAAACCAATGAATACTAAATTCAGTCGATTGTAACAAATCATCAAAAATAATTCAATTTTGTCCTTGATATTGTTATTCTGTAGACTATGTAGTTTAATGATAACGAAACTTTTAAATAAATTACAATTTATAACTTAGTTTGATTGATATAATGAAATAAAAGCAAACAAACAAATACATTGTCAATTAATATAAAGACTGATTGGAAGAATGAGCTACTAACATTGTTTGGAAGTGTTCTGTTACGAAGAATGGATTCCCGACAAAGTTATGTTACTACATCTAAGCAGAAGTGACACGATTGTTCCATAATTGTATCTTCGTGTAACTTTATTTCGTGTTGTTGTTTTCCTCATGGAAATTATTAAAATGTCTATGATGCATTAATTATATTTCTAATAATCATACTTATGTCTAATTGGTTTTATTTTCAAGTAAAAGATTGTTCTTCTCTTTTATTCTCTATATAACTAATTGTGCACAATGATATTATTTATAATGTGAAAGCTTGTCTGCATGTTAAAATACCTCTACCTACTGTTTAATAAATGAAATCAACCACGGCTACTAATTATAACATTTATTTTGAGGACATTAACCTAAATAAACATATTTTTACAGTTGTACAATTTCTTCAATGCATTACTGAGTCACATGAGGGACACCAGTGGACGGCCGTCCTCCGAACGAACCTCGAGGACTGCCTCAGTGTGTAAGTTATGTTATTTTACAGCGGAATTTTCATCCATTATACATTTTCCGGGCTCCGGATAACAATGCCACAAAGGAATTATGTCACTGTTTTAAAGGACGCTCAAGTAAAGGTCGTTTTATTTATTTTCACGTTTATGTCTATGGGAAACCGTTTGTTTTTAGATTTCAGCTTTTTCTTGGAATTGTGAATGACACTTTATAATATTACAACTACGTACGTATGTACTATGTACGAGTAAATACTATAATTGTATAGATATATGAGTAAACTCTATTTTCTAAAAGACAACCACTATTATTACGAAGGATCAAGTTTTAAATCCGAAATATATTTATTTTGTAGACACGTTCTAAATTTGTTTTTGGCGTGGCATTACCTGTGCTCGGAAATGCAGGCAGCATTTGTGAATTTCTCACAAACGGGAGTGCGCGCGCACTGCGTTGTATTTATACGATCCAATTTAAGCACTTATTGACTCACTGTCACTGCCCGACTAGTACTTTTAGGAAATAACCCTAACAGACTGAACGGATATGCCAATAACAGGAATTGAGGGTTTGTTTGGAGTCTCGAAAAAGTAGGTTATAAAAAAGACTAAGCAATTGTTGCTTTACCTGAATTCGTAATTTTGAAGTCTATTTGTTATATGGTATAAACCCTTCATCTTGTATATATATACTGCTATAATAAAGTAGAATATCCGGTATAAACTGGGACAAGTTCGTTCTACACTAATATTGCTTGGATAAAGATCCACATATAATTTATAATTGCCCATTAGTTTCAAGTATCTATCTTAATTGTTAATAATTTTTATATATTTAATTTAAACATTTCTATAGAATTTGTAAATAGAACTCTGCTTCCCAGTAATTAATTGATCCATTCATTTTCATTCATTCCTTCATTATATATAACAACTAGCAAACCCGGCCACGCGTTGCTGTGGCTAAGGTTAAATAATATTGCGACTATAAATTGAGATGTATGCTATCCTATCTTTCAAGTTGGTTCAAATTGCACATAATGTCCAAATAAAATGTGCAATCGGTTCAGTAGTTTAGGAGTCCATCCCACATAAACGACGTGACAGGTAATTTTAATTTATAGAGATATGTTTAAAGTCATGTTATTTTTTCATGTAGTTAAATAATACGTGTAGTTAAGCATTGATATGTTGGGTGCCTATTATTATACCATTTACACGTTTTAAATATATGTTTACAAAAGCTATCCATTTGCAAATTACACTAGGGAAATTAAATTTAATCTAGCACGCGGAGTGTTATTTCTTTCATGTCACAATGCGAGGACATTCCTATTGTTCCCATTTTTTGTAACTAGTAGGGAACACGCGACACTGCGGTATAGTGTCTTTACGCTTGTCACTTACATAATCTCTCTGCAGTGAACTTTCTTCCTGTTTTACACGCTTCTAAATGAACTTGTAGATAAAATCGCCTGAACTAATACAAGTTTAATATTTTTGATGTCTCCAAAAAAATATTTTGTGTATAAAAATCCTTAGGTAGTAATAAACAATATTAGCTATCTATTAATGTGTATATCTATCTATGTATTTTTGGAGTCGGTAACGAAGTTCGTAATTAAATTATTTAGCGATTCGACGCCTAAAATTAAGTGGTTCTCCGGAATTAAATGTCAGACAAATAAAAGCTTTCCTGTCGAATGTCACAGTTGATTGACGTTACATGTAGAGTATTTTGGTTTTGATGGGCAAAGCATTGTTTCTTAAGTAGGTAAGTAATTATTAATGAGGATATATAAATCCACAGTAAGTTTATAAGGTATCTTCATTACATTTTTTTTTGTTTTCTCTTAAAGATGTCGTAGTTTTTGTATCGCGTACAACTTGGTAAACGAAAAATAGGGGGGACCTACTGAAAATTAAACTTATTTTGTAGTAGAGCAAGTGTTTTCCGAGGAGTCGGATGAAGGAGGAGGCGTAGACGAGACGGCTCCCCCGAAGCCTACACGTGGTCCTGACATAGAATTTCCGCTTCAGAGAAAGGATATCGACCTGCTGATTGAAACTTTTAGGAAAAAAAAGGTAAGTTTAATTTAGTACTTACGAATGCTGCGAGGCATTGTTTTGCTTATTTTTTTAAGTGGTTAGAATAACGAATAATCTTATTTATGTTTTGTACGATTGGTAAATAGCAGTAAGCAAGTGTTGTTTGCTTTCAATTACAATTAAAAGGATGTTCTACTTTTCAAGTTTCTATGTGACTTTGGTGTTTTAAGACTGCCGTTATTACGTGTTTGTAGATACACCAAGATATGTCAAAATAATAAAATATATTTCAAATCATTGTAAATCTACTTTCACTATTTTAACAATTTATTGTTAATTAGTTTTAGTTTAACATTAAATATACTTTTCTTTAATGTTAAATTAAAATTTACTAATATTAATATCGGTTTCAGCATCGCCTGCACCCAAAACATGTCGCTCAAATCTTAAAGGAGGCTACGCAGGTGTTGAAAAGACTACCAAATATCAATGTGGCTACCACGTCAATATCCAGTCAGATAACTGTTTGTGGCGATTTGCATGGGAAATTGGATGATTTGCTGGTTATTTTTCATAAGGTATATTTCATAATAAACTATGCATCGAACTAAAAATCCGCGCTAGAGAATAATATTCTAACTTTATGTAGAATTGCGGCCCATTTACTTGTTCCAAATAAACTTTAGTAGGCAGTTATTGTGTAGGTAGGTACTTAGTTATTTTTCTTGACTTAAAAATCGTTTATTCTAAAAATATTGATGCTTCACCGAGATAGACTTTGTAAAAAGTCCCCTGCGTGGTAGGTATATCAGTCTTACCTATTTCAGACGCGAAGCAGGTTGAATGAAAATGCATCAAGCACCAAGCGTTCGGAATGAAAATGCATGAGTCATCACATTATGTGATGAACGTGGTGCTGTTCGTGTTACGGTTACCACTTAAGGTTGTTGTTGTTGATGTTGTTGTTTATCATTCCAATTACATATAAAATATATGTATTTGCTAATAAATACCGTAACTAGAGTAATTTCAAATGTAGGAAGAACACGTCGGAAATAATTTGCATATCTATATTAACTCGAATTTCCCCGACTCAGCGATGACAGCTTAGTTAGGGGAACGCTTGACTGCGTAGGTATGGCGATCCCATCAAGATTCAATCTCAGAACTTTAACCTTTGAATTTTCAACTTTATATTTGAATAATTTAAAAATAATTTTCTTCACTGTATTTTTGTTTCGAAATACTTTCGAATTATTAATATTACGCTAATAGATGAACATATTATAAAATGGTGCATCCGTGTTTGGGGAACCACGCGGAAGTCGACATGGCGTATTTGTAGTAATGCAATTAGTCCCTATTACTAGCAATTCCCTAACCCCTCCCCCCACAATAATTATTTATATTGTAAATAAAAAAATAATACAAACTTTTTCAACATTTTGTAGTCTTCTTACATTTCGGATGTTAAAATAAATATCAGTTGGTCTAGCATACCGGATACCTCTGTTTGTATGTTTACATTAAATAAGTAGGTATTCCTCTATGAATTTGATTATAAAAAATATTTACGACGCGCACTTCTCTAATAATCTAAATATTTTCTTCGCCTTTATAACTATCATTACGTATGTATGAGTCATTTGTGTTGTCTCTACTGGGGTATATTTAGCTCGTCGGATTGCTATGTTATTGTGTAAGGTTTCCTCGGACTTGTTTTTCCATTGGTGCTCATTAGAGTTGGTTTTGACGTCAAGTGGGCGAGGGTCGCTCCGCGGGACATACAGACATACCTAACACAAACACCGGGAGCGGCGTACGCGTCATCTAATTTGTGCCCCTTGTCGCGTAGCCGTTTGATTGATTGACCGCCCGGTTTGCCTGCCGGATGGCATCATTAATATACCTGCATTGTTGTTGTACTATTATTGTTAATTATTTTCAACTGTGCAATTCATTTCTTCTAATTTAGATCATATTGCCATAATAATATACCTGATGTTCATGATTAATGGCTCTTCGACGTGTATTGTATTCATGCCGAATGTTAAATACAAGTTTAAAAAAATTCAATGAATTTGCATTTAGATAACATTGTATAAACGGTTTATAAAGGTCTTAAACAGAGTCAATAAAATAAACAGAGGACACATATGTAAATAATTAGATATTGAAATGTGCATACTGTTAAATCCATTAAATATATAATGATAAAACTTTGATAAAGAGTTTCCAATAGCAAGTAACATACAAACAAAAATGTTATGTAAAGTTAAAAATCACGCGATGACGGGTTATAATGCATATTTGTGCGTTTAGCATCGATTTGGAGTTAACCCTTATATATAGTTATACCTACTGCCTGTCTACGAAATTAAGAATTCAAAAAAAAAAAAACAAAAATGGAAGAACAGACGCGTTTGCTGTCCTGTTGTATTGTTTCTTCTTGTGTAAAATATACAGAATAAAATATTTGTCTTGGCATTAAAAATAACACATGAACATACAAGACACATTTTTATTATTATTGTACAATAATTTCCAGCAAACAGTAACCATCATCTATGGATAATGCAAAAAGTTAATGAGATAGCAGATTAAGTACTTAAAAGACAATTTAACGCAGCGTTTCGTTTCGTTACGGTTCGTTCTTTATTCGGTCCTGACTTAGAAAAAGGGGAATTCGGTACTAGTTAAAGGATAACTGTTACATAACGCTGCTGGGTATTGATTGGCAGTCGACATGTTGCGTAAACAGCCGTGTCCGCGGTCGTCCGCGGTCATCGCTGCAAATATAAGGATTCGCTGAATAAACTCTGCTTATGCATTTATACTATAATTATATTTAATACTAGCTGAGCTGATTATTACGTTTCTAGAATAGCCTATAGGTGTTATTTAGCTTGTGAACTGATTGGAATAAACCAATGTAAATATTACTGGAACTTTGCTTTGATATATCAGTGAAAACCGCTTTATTTCGATAAGCTTCTGTATTACGTAAGTAAATATCTTACTTAGGTCTCTGTACTGACAAAATAGAATTTTTATCTATTTTATTAGTAAAGTGAGTAAAGTGAAGTAGGTTATTTATTTTAGTAATTATACAAATTGTTTATTTAAAAATAAATAATGCCAATATATTTATCATAACTCTTTTATTATATGTATGATTTTAAGAACATGTTGAATTATCTATAGTGAGAATTTTTTATAGTGGTTTATTAATTTACGATACGACGAGATTATCATTATGCTTGAAATCCCTTGTTAAAACAGTAGTAGCAAATCTGCTGTGAGTAGTATAATGCTCAAAGTCACAGGCGCCATCCTCAACCACCACTGGTCGACGTCAAACCTAGCGTCGATGACGGCATCAGTCAATCGACCAGTGAGAAGCACCGCTCATCACGCGACACATATGAGCACCAATAAAAAGGGTGGATACTCCACCCCTATGTAATTTAAAAAACGTTAAGTTGTTGCAATAAACGCTTCATGAGAAGAGGTCACAGTTTCATTTAAAAACACTCTTCCTTTACAAAAAACAAATTAACACCCTAAATGTAGGTCTATAAAAATAATTCCATCTTGTCAATTATCGTCATATTTCTTGTGTGATATGATTTCGAACGCAAATTTTTATTTTTTATGATACTTATAAATTCAGGATCTATTTAATATTTCCGAAGCTATAATTGGGATCCTATTTTGATCGTTCAATTGTTAGAGAAATCGTAACTTGCGAAATGTCGGAGACGACACATGGAATTGATATGGGTCTTGACATAACTTGGACAGTTAGAATTTTGAATCATAACGCACTTTTTCGAAGTTTTACTATTTCATCATGTTCCGCATCTGGTAACGGACTAAATTATTATAAGCATTATACTTATATGCAATAGTGTGTTATTTTTAGTATTTTTTTTTTATAGAATGTTACTATGCCTTTTTACTCCTCTATTCTATTCATACGCAATATATCACTTGCTGTTTTAGCTCATCTACCCAAGAGTTGACTGCAAGAGATGCCTTAAATGATAATATATATATATATATCTGTACTAATATACAAATATGGATTCTTATCTATTTATCTATCTATATCGCCTTTTATTCTCTATACAACTCAGTAATTAAAGTCCATTGTAAAAGACGTGTAGAATGAAGTGTTAATACATAAATAAATGTCTATTCTAATAAATTACATGGTTGTGAATGATCTAACTAGATTACTCCGAGTAATTTAGTATACGATAAGCTTTTATTCCAGTAACATTAAGCGCCATCCTATTCCTCGTTTATTATATTTCACCGTGACAATAAATCTGCGAAAGCAAAATGTGAAAATTGTTTGTCAGGTTATATTAATATCTTATTTACCTACATATGTATATAAATATACATACATATTATTGTACAAGGCAGTATATAATACAGTGAAATAAAAGTAGTTAGTAGTTTACGATAGTCTTTTGAAATATTTTACGTATATAGTTTGGAAGTTTCAATTTACGGTTTTTGTGAACAATAGGGTTGCCAGCGAGTTAATAAATGTTTAATGAAACTGGACTTTTTTATGTTCTAATTTCAGTAGCTACGTAATATTTATGATTAGGTATGCACAAAGTTATTTAGGAGCTGTATTTATATAAATTCATTACATACGGGCCTAAATTTATCCGGTTAAATTTAGATAACACAATGAGATCAATTCTGAAGCCTGAAGCGACAATCTTTAAGTGTATCTACATATATTTAAAACTAGTGTTAATTGAGTATTAGGTACAATCAAATTATTTATAAATTATTACTAATATGTACAATCAATCTTGTACATTGTACATTTGATTGTCTGTATAGTGTATATCTAAATGTGTTTCAGGTTACGATATTATGTTAATCTGGTACTGAGCTTAAGTAGTAATAAGTACATGTTAGTGTGCTTAGAATACTGCAGAAGTGTCCGTTATTCTTATAAGTAATCTCTGCCTACAATTATTTTGTGGTATTTGTGTTTATAATAGTATTATTATGTGTGTTGATGATATTTTTAGCTGTTAGGTTGGTATACACGACATTGTCTGCCTTTTTATCTAAATATAGCCTATGCTTGTACTCGTGATTCAATATATCTTCATATTAATTTTCATTACGAAAGGTCTAGCCAGACAGACACATATTCGAATATGCTATATAAGTTGTTGATAGATTAATAAATATATATATATATCAAATAATTTTCAGTCTGCCACAATGGAACAATAGCGGTTTATCTGAATTCTGTTGAAACATAGGTCGTAGATAATTATTTCATATACATTTGTGTTAACGCTTAGTCATGCTCATAATTACGTAAAAAAATATTAATATTTCATCACGCAGAATGGCCTGCCATCACCTGAGAACCCATACATATTCAATGGTGATTTCGTGGACCGAGGCAAGAAGAGCCTGGAAGTGTTCCTCCTATTGTTAGCTTGTATGCTTGCGTTTCCGGGTGGAGTCTACTTAAATAGAGGCAATCATGAAGATCTCATAATGAATTCAAGGTAACAAAATATTTCTATTAGTTGCTTAGTACCAAACTTTGCTCATGGGACTAGATGGTGTGGCAACAAAATATCGTAATTTGTCTTTATTTTCACTCACGAGTTATGAAACAAAATTAAGCCAAAGTTAAGTAAAGTAGGGTGTAACAATATATATATATATAGCTCTCTGTTTATCCCATAAAGCACTTTCTGTGATGATATGTAGACAATTTCTCTTTTAATATGGATAATCCTGTAACTGACTGTGAAACAGGCTTATATGTTCCGACCTCAGTACTATACCCATATTAATAGAGTTGAAACTAGTTCATTAACTAGTTTGACGTTTCATTAGAGATTACCTTATGATTATGTATCAAGGTGTTGTTTATCGATATAACTTCTGTTTACTCTACAATATTATTTCACCGTGTTATATTATGTGGCATATCTCTATTGTTAATATATTATTCAGGTACGGTTTCATCAAGGAAGTACATCAAAAGTACAGGGTAAGTGGCATTATTGTTGTAAAGCTAACATCGAATGAACTCAAATACTCAATTCTATTTATACTTTACCATATGACATAATAGTTGATCTCTATGACGATAACAACGTGTCATGAGTGACCTAGGTCACAAGCAGCTGTCGATCGACACAAGTTTAATGTTATTATTTTTATACATTCCTTATTTGAAAATCCAAGAAATAATGTGTCTTACTGGGACAATAATTTTACTCTAAATATTATATGTTTGCAAAACGTAGTCATTGTAAATAACAAAAGTAAGTTGAACTATTTATACGTAAATAAATATTGAAACTAAATATTTTTTACTTTCATTATTTTAATCAATCAAATGTAGTATTCTACTAGGTATTTGTCAATCAACAAGTTGTCCAATAAATTATCAAGACGGCCAAGAGCCGAGTAATAGGTTCCTTGGGTCTGTGTGTCTCGGTAAGGACTAAAACAAACTCCAATGTCAATACGTAGAGGTAACGTTGTACTCTTCAATCACTATAGGAAAGGGGCGTTTAAACAATGAAATGATTTTATTATTCTTAATAAAATTACTCGCGTAGGGTTTTTTGATAAGTCCACACAATTATTTATTAGAGACTACCTGATCCGTGCAACTCTATTTGCGTCATATTTCTTTGATGCCACTTCTATTAGTTGTAGTGTTATGTTATATAGGCTACAGTTTTCTTTAACAGTAAAAGATTGTATAATTAGAAACTCCAGTTTCGGAATTTATTCAACCAATCTATTTGGATGGTTTAAACCCCTTAGATTTACAATATTAGTGTAGATAAAATACAAACAGTATTGATTATTCAATAGTTTGTAATCAGTACTGTAGTAGTTACTTGTCCAGTAATTATTAAAAAAACATATTTTATATTTATCTGTCTAACCATATTTAATTATCCAGACATAAATTGTTAAGGGAGATAATAGTTTCTTTAACTGATCAACCCTAAAACTATCGGATAGGTGCTCTATTTCTTCGCGTTCAGTTCTAACAGATTCGATCACTAAATCACCTAACTTCCTAATTTGTAAGCCGCATTAAAACTTTCATGTTCAAAGTTTTCGAGAACTTAAATCAAAGGGTATATCATGTGAGCTTGTTTATAATTAGTAATCGTTTGTGCAGCACAATGCGGAGAGACTACTGAAGCTGATAGAATGCGTATATAGATGGCTGCCACTTGGAACTATCATCAACAATCGAGTATTTGTGGTACATGGTGGCATCTCGGATACAACGGATTTGGATATGATTCGCAGCTTGGAACGTGATAAGGTTAGACAAGATTTGTTACGTTTATATCTCTTTAAAAATATTTTATATCACTGTTTTTAGTATACAGTAAATACAATCTGTATTACAGTAAAAGTATAAAATAAAAAACGACACCATTTGTCTTACAAAATATATCTACTTAACTTGGTAAAAGTAATTATAGTATTTAATAAGGCACCGTGTATGACAAATATGTATTACGCTAACATGCACAATGTTTAGTATAATACGTAAAATTATTTCCAATTCTTTAAACTAGGCTGTATTACTATATATAACTATTAGGAAGCGACCTATAACTTTTATATAAATGAAGTAATTTATAGGTTTTAAAGTGTTGTTGTTTATAATAATTGATGTATTTCAGTATGTATCACTACTTCGTCCTCCAGTAACTGAAAACTCCGTTTCGGGTGCCGAAGTTATCGACAAAGTTGAGTGGAAACAGGTTAGTCATTCATAATCAATCATTTACAATTCACATTCGGCAGTCGATCGATGCAATGCCTTTTCCCTCTTGAAACTTTTATCGGCCATGCTAGGGCCGATCAATCAATAGAATAGTCGAAACAATTCATAGCACATCCTGCAGGTCATAGTAAAAATATAGAAACTATTTATCTATCTCTTTGTATTCTTATCGTAAAAAAAGGTTAACGGTAAATTTAATCGTTCTTATTAAAAGCAATATTACTTTTAAATCCTATAAGTGCGTAATAGGTAGGTTATCGGCTGTTGAAAGATTGCTCATATAATTAATTCTGGAATATTTTTTTAATTTATATCAATTGATTTTCAACCCCTAGGGATTTCATTTTCCATTTTCTTAATATGACGACCTCGGTGGTGTAGTGGTTTAGCACACCGCTTTACGTCCGATGGTCGCGGGTTCGAATCCTCGCACGGCATTTGTATTCATAAGTATGATTATTTGTATCGGTCTGGGTGTTTTCTATGTATAATATGTATGTATTTACGAAAAAAAAAAGATATATCTATGTATTAGTATCAGTTGTCTAGTACCCATAACACAAGCTTTAGCTAGCTTAACTTGGGACTAGAAGGCGCTGTGTGAATTGTCCTGAGATTATTATTATTAATAGTTTCAACTAATGTTACATCGATAGTATTAGTAGTTTAATTTGTTAATAACTTATTTTATACAATATATAAAACACATTTGTAATAATGCATAATTATCAAGATCCTTGATCGCTGTATCGATCATAAAATGAAACATCAAACTCAACTGAGTTTTAATTATGATATCGTATAATATATACTCAATAAACAAAGTTTTTTGGCAGTCGATTTAAAATGTGCTGATTATCGTTCAACTTCAAGTTGAAACAATAACAATTATTCCAGACAGACTTTACTTAGTTGATTGCTGTCGACAATCATATTAGGTAGGTACTATAATTTCAGTCCTGTATTAAGGCCTAACAATTTAATTTAAAACACTGTTTTATGCTGTAGCTTTTATTAAAAATTAATAGTAAGGGAGAAGTTTCAGCTTGAAAATACAGGTCAGTGCTCTTCAGGTCTTGTAGGCATGTGTGTCATGGTTACTATATTTATATTTTTCATGGATAGCTGGCTAAAAAAATAGAAATAAAAACCTGACATCTATAAACGGCTAATAGTTGTACCTTGTATAGATTTTAACATATAGATTTAATTTTAACATCGTTTCATTACATGCTAAAGAGAGATGTAAGAAATCTTATCCCACAACATTGTGGGTATATACATGCTATGTCACGTGGGCGTTACCAATTCTGAACTCTTTCCAACGAACGAATAACAAAGGGAAGAAAGTGTATACCTTAACATTTCATTATACGAGACTTGAATGTTAAAACATCAAGTTTACTGTATGTAACAACCTGATTTATAAATAGTTAATGCATGAACTCGGTATGTTTTCTAACTTCAATTCCCTGATGCGAAACTTGCGCTGTAGTTGATAGTTTTAAACAAGCGCAACTCTATCGATTTGCATATTTAAGTTTACAAGTTGTGAGTCCTTCATAGATTTTGGTGTTTCAGTATAGTTTAAAATCTAAGTATAAGATAAAGAAACATGGAGAGAAGTAAATATGTTTACTTACCATACAATGAAATTATTGGTATAACAAATAAGAATGTTTAAAAATTGCTAGGATAAACAATAAGAAAAGAAAAACAGGTTTTGGTAACAATCGCGAAAGTGAGAATCAATCAAGTGAGATCTATCAGCTGTTTGCAAAAAAACTTCAATCAAAAAATATACCTATTATACCTTCATGTACTTAGTATCTATTCCATATAATAAACACTCAAGCATTTACAGTACCAACTTTTGGCCAGACGATTTTCCACCCGCTTTCGATGAAATGCGAAAATGCGGGTACAATATCCGTACTTGATTAGAAAAAGAATAGAATCAAAACCTAATACAATTAGTTTAAAATAGATTTTATATTGTTATGATGTAAATTGTGCAATTATACATATATGTAACTGATGTGTTATCGCTCTATTCGTTAACACATCAGTTACGTACATATAATTACATATGTATTAAATGATATGAGTCATAGTGTAAAAAAAGAATAGTTGTGGATGATAAAAATTAAAGGTACCTACGTATTTCCGCCTATCTCATACGGAAGATGATGTTATAAACATACAAAGTCACACATCACATTTTTAATAGCTGAGCATATATTTTTCAATCCTATTTGATTCAAATCAAATCAAATCAAATTGAATATCTATAACATATTGATTGATTTCATCAGCTTCTGAACCACCTTTCTAGTTTATTATATCACTGATCTTATCCAATTTCCGTTCGTTGGAAGCAATTTCAGCAACCGCTATCCTTGACATAATACAATTTGGTTGGGTTGGACCCCTGCGGAGTGTCACACGATAGAGTTACAGCTTACTGCGACCGCTTTATGATCCCTCAGCGCCCGAAGGGCTACTTTCTCTAAAAATTTGTCTTCTGTTCAAGAGATTACGTTTGATTCATATTGCTAAGAGAACCTTTTATTATTTACCATGTAGGAAAAATCTCAGGTTGATTTTATTATAAACTTCATTATAATGTATTTAGATGATTTCACTGTTCTATTTCTGTAAGACTCCGGAATCGATTTGTATGTATTATATGTTCAGGAATTTATTATTTCTTCTTACTTCTTTTTATGTAATTTAAATGGCACCTGGGTATGGTAAGCGGTAACCGTAGACTATGTGCATAAACAGAAATATATATATAAGATATGCAGGATTGTATGTGATATCACTCATGCGTAGCTATTGTATAGGATAAAGATGTCTTGCCTCTTATCTCGTAATTTTATCTTATTACCTGGATAAATACTTGGCATGAAGATGTCACCTTCTCGTCCTTTCATTTCTAATAATTATAAAATTATAATAAGAACATTTGCATTTAAACGATGTAACCGCTATTAAGTGAAGTTGACCGCTTTAAACTGTAATAAAGCGAAATAAGATATCGTTGAACAAGTGGTTTATATAACTACGTGATAAAATGTAATTTAACATTTTCTACGAAAAAAAGAGTAAAATTAATATTGTAAGGAATGACTATAAATTTAAAGATTACTATAATGTACATATGCCTGTAAGTATAATGGATTGGGACAAGTGAGGGATCGGTTTCATATCCAATAAGCTGTACCTAAAACTTTTAATCATTTGCATAAAGATTATAGGCTCTTTACTTTCAATACATTTTGATAAAACTGAAATGTTATCCCAAATTAATATAAACCTATAACAGTACATGCCTCTAGTTACGGATACAGTTTTTTCCAGACTGTACGCTACGATTTTTTTATTTATGAACTTACATATTTGAGCTTATAAGGCCTTCTATGAGACGACAATAAGTTTTATGGAATTTCTTGCTCATATTCTATGTCTTGTATGTAATAATTATGAAGCATTACCAACAAGGTTAGCACAGATAATATTCATATTACACTACGTTTTGTACAGAAACTATATTCACTCTATATAACAAGGTACATGGAAACGATAAACATATTTGTCCATTAAGATTTCTTGGATATTATTTATGGTATCTGAATATATGTTATGTTCCTAATGCAAATTCTATATAAACTAGTGCCGGGTAGGCTCTTACAAAATAGGTTTTCCTCTATCTCACTTTTTTTAATTGATTTTGCATTAACGGTCAAAATATTGAGCTTCAATTATAGTAGTTGCGTTTACTATAATTAAAGCTTAATATTTTGATCGTTAATGCAAAATCAATTTCTAAGTTTTAATTATAGAAAACGCAATAACTTTTAATCCTAAAGTTTTATGCATCACAGACGCCGATTACAAACTCTGTTGAGCTGTGAAATTGGAAATTCCTTTCAGATCATATTCACTAAATAACATATAGCGGGTAATATGTTACATTTCATCTAGTATGAAACAAATCACAATATTAATATCTCGATTATAGAATTGAAACAGAAATTCTTTCATGAAAATATCAAAGTAGACAGTACCTATTATTCAAAGATTTGTTCATGAAGATGTCCTAATCCCCATACAGGTAACCTGTTAGATTCATGTAATTAATAAACACAAGAAATATAAAAATATCATATAATACATATACATTTATGTTAATGAAAAAGCTTTAAAAAGAATAGAGTGAAACCAGTCCGTGTCCTAATGTATACATAAACTTATAAAAAGTTGTTTAATTAGGTACAATTTTATCCACACAGTGTCCTCACTAAGTAAACAATAATATAATAGAGTTTCGAGAGCTCTGAGTTTATTTATCGAATGGCGATATCAAGGCTACCTAAGTACTGACATGTTTATTTTACAGCTCAGTATCATTTTTTTATGTAGAATATCACGTCTCTTGTAACTCTGGTAAATTAAGAGTACATTGTAAAGGTATATTTTTAGTAATATAGGTATATACGAATACGAGTATAGGCAGGTAAAAATTTCCGACGAGCGCTGCGTGGGCGATTATTTAGCAACCGTAGGTATATTGGAGAGGAATGGCGGTAATGCAGGCTATTTAATTTGTCAAGTTATGAATAAATGTTTGTAATAAATATAAATATTTATGGAATTAAGAAATCTTCAACTACTTATTCATACATTGTAATAGTAGTAATGGTGAAATGAATAAGTTATTAGGTTTATGTATTTGTGACAAAAACACAGATAAGATAAAATTACGTACAAAAAATATTTTGCCCAAAATGCGTATCTTCTGTGATACATGAGTGAAGTCAAAAGTCGATTTCGCTCACTCAGTGAACAAAGCGAATTTTTGAATTTATATTACATTAGAAAAGCGAATTGGTATCCTAATTTCATTGGATCTTGAAATGAAATGTTGAGAAATTCCGTACACTGTAACATTTTATTTAGGCAATATTTTATGTTTTACTGTAAATAAGCCGTGTTCTGTAATTATTAGCAAGATTAATTTGTTCTTTGGTGTTGATATTGTTATTAAGTATATGCACGTCTAATAAATTATTCTTCTTTCAACAGAAGAAAAAAGAATAATTTGTTTGCTGTATAAAATTAATAATCGCTTAATAAAAATCAATGAGATATATTTATGACAAAAAATATATGATATTGTTATAATTTCGGAAACTGCTTATTTTTTGTCACAACTCACTTTCGATGATAAAAGATCCTAGAATTTTATTATTCTTATTTATAGTACTATAATAATATTTTTTTCTTATAGGTATTTGACATCTTGTGGTCAGATCCTCAGTGTACTGGAGGCTGCGTTGCAAATGCTTTGCGTGGGGCTGGTACTTATTTTGGTCCCGATGTAACCACTTCTTTCCTTCAGAAAAACAAGTTGAGCTTCATCATTCGAAGTCACGAATGCAAGCCTGGTGGATATGAGTTACTACATAATGGAAATGTACGTACTTTTATTGATATAAACTTGAACAACAAATAACAATCACTTGGACGAGATTATGAATGACTTGACACAGTACACTGTAACGTACATAATGCGTTTCTTGTCATTCTTGGACATATCTCATTTATATTAGTACACCGCGAACAATCTTTCTCTGCACCACTCATGGTTGACAGGTAGATAACGCCGCAAGATATTAAGTCCGCCATATGTGTACACTTTATTTTTGTGCATTGAAGCTAAATAAATAAATTGTGTATAATATTGACAATGAATATTATACTTAACTATAACTAGTAAGCAACTTGTTTGTTAATAGAAATAGATGAAGACAATATAGAGCCAGACTCTAGTACAGATGAATGTTCATGTGTTTGAAGATTTTTATTAAAGATTTCTAAATTAATAATATGTAATGTAAAAGTGAGCATATGCTTATGTATTTTCTTATATAACTTTTTGCTATATATATAATTAAATACAAAAGCTTTCTAATATAGATTTTGTTTCATCACAGGTTATAACCATCTTCTCAGCATCTAATTACTATGAACTTGGCTCTAATAAGGGGGCATACTTGAAACTCTGTGGCAATTCTTTAGAGCGACAGTTCGTGCAATATACAGCAGCTGTGTCACGCACGCGACGACTCACATTCCGTCAGCGTGTTGGACTGGTCGAATCCTCCGCTATGAGGGAACTTCATAACCAGATCATGATGGCACGGAGACCGCTAGAGGCAAATTTCCGTAGCATGGACATAGATCAGAGTGGTAAGTTTTTATTTTGTGTATATTTAGACTTTCACTGGTTTCGTCTGTCTGTTTTTCACTTTTTTCTTCTAAATTACGTAACGGATTTTTCATTGTCATTTTAAAATATTTTTCAAGAAGGTTTAGGCGTAATATAAACTGAACAACCATTGAAAACTACGATTGGTAGGTTGCAAATAACAAAATCGTAAAAGAACCTCATTTGCATGTACATTTATTAATATATAAAAAAATATTCAGCTGTATTACCGAGGCAAAACAATCAGTTTCAGAATTTTTATTTGTCTGTACGCTCCGCGAATTTTCAAAATTCGAATGCGTTTTGACTGATGTATTGTTTGAGGTGTCAAGTAAAATTTCGCGGTTGTTTAATTCAACTCAGTTCATAAATAAAATAGTTATATATTTTTGATATTCCAAATAGGTACTATGCTACGAAGTCACGGCCATAGCTAGTTGAATATAATTTTCTTTAGATCAATAAACTTACAGCCTGCGTCTTAATAAGATCGGTGAAGTGGAATGGCATGTTTGAAAAGCTGTGGATGCTTGTGATGTTTGAATAGAGCTAAATTGAAGTAACTAATTACTAGGGCGAAGCAATTTCCAAATCGAAAGGTTCCGTACCGTACTATGTGTATTTTAGACAGACAATAAGTATTTCGATGTAGACTTTTGTTTAGGTTGTGCGATATAATTAAAACCGACGACCTCGGTGGTCTAGCGGTTTAATATACCCCATCCTTTTGATAGTCGCGGGGTCCCCGCGTTATACAAATCTACGAGTATGTAGTCACATGTATATCTGTTTGTATAGATTTGGATGTTTTTCTATGCATGCATTTAAATATTTCTATCAGTTATCTAGCACTAATATAGTACAAGCTCGTACTATATGCTAGTTTGGGATTATACAGACGTAGTATGAATAATCTTCCATAATTTAATTATTATGATTATAACCTTGGCAATTCATACCTATTTATAACTTTTTCAAACAATAATTATTGAAAGTGTTTTAGATATACGAAATAAGAAAATTCAGCTATGAAAATAGAAATAATACATATACATATAAAAATATTTCAAACTCAGGTTACATAACGGTTAGCGACTGGTGCACCGCCATGGAAGATATAACACATCTTGGTCTTCCTTGGAGAATGCTAAAGGATAAACTGGTGCGAACAGATAATGAAACACGGCGTGTTCGGTATATGGACACATTTGATCTGTATGCTAATGTAAGTCAATGTTGCCTGTATGAAATCAGTATACTACATTAGTGGTGTCATGACATATTGTTTGTTAAAGTACATTAACAAGTGATGTTACCAGTGTCATTTGTTTTTCTTTGTTGTTTTATGTTATTGTGTTTCATCTTATTTTATAAACAGGAATATTGTGTACATTTTCTTTTCATTTTAAATCTAATGTTCCAAGGAGGTTTTATCTCTAATGAGAGATTATTATTTAATTTTATTTATATTATTTAAATAGGGAAAGTGTAACATAATATACTAAAGTCTTTTCTCACACCAAATTATATTTAGGCCTTGTCTAATTTAATTTGTTCGAATTTTAGAAAAATGGATACGTAGTTTTCTTTTAATTACTGTACAATTGCAGAAAATGGGCCGCAAAGCTGATACTACTACAGTAGTCGAGACTCTTTATAAGAACCAACGGAGTCTGGAGGCAATTTTCAAAATTCTAGATAAGGATAATTCAGGTATATGCCTATTTATTATGTTAATGACCAAGTTACATCTTTGGTTGCAAAATTTATCTTTTAGGTTTGCTAAATTGAGATAATATCATTTTTAAATTTCTTTTCAAGTAAATACGGACACAAAACGATTGATTGAATCTATAATGTCTGAGTCACTGACACACTATTTGAGCTAAAATTTTAATGAAATCTGTAACGAATAGTGCAATAAAACTTTATTTCAAAAAATGTGTTATACAGATATAAAACAATCACCACTCATGTAAGAGCTTCTTTACAGGATACATCACATTGGAAGAATTTTCAGAAGCTTGCCAATTATTAGGTAAATATATGCCAAATCCGATGACTCAAGAACAATTGGTTGATATTTGCCGGCTTATGGATATAAACAAAGATGGTTTGGTCGATTTAAATGAATTCCTAGAGAGTTTCCGTCTCGCTGAAAAGAGTTTGACAGATGAAGACGGCGAATTTGCAAATTTGCAAGCCACTTGACAGGAACAAGACCGCCGCCCCAGCAGGACGGCGGTCGATAAAGATGAAACTGGTGTCGAAATAGAAATCCTCAAACTAGACGATCGAAAGGCTAACGTTAAAAATGGGAAAAATGGACAGGCTCATTTAATGGGCACTTCCATACAATGCGCTTCTAAAGAGATGGATGATATCGAATTAATTGATTGTGAGGATACACCTAAGCGGCCTGGCCTGCTGGAGAGTGATATTTGAAAGTATACTGCCTGAATTTTTGAGGAATCTACTGATCATATTTTCTATATACTATTATAAATATTACGTAACTGTCTATTTAACTGAATTAAAAAATCTACATGTGCTTGAAAATGTTTTCTCTAATCGTTTGTGTCTTATAGGAAGTTTCATGTCTTTTCTATTAGATCACGCGAAGCCTAATATTTCTATTAAAAATTATATTAGTAGAGAATAAAATAATATTGACTATTAAAGTATGTAGATTTCACTATTATTTCCAAAGATGATTGTAATGTACCTGTTATATAAATTATTAGAATAAATTATATAGAAAAAATATTTTGATATTCAAATTAATTCAAAAATCGGTGCCAAGTTTATTAAAAAACTATTTAATTGTACAACGTAAATAGTAATAACTGGCGAATAAAATAAATTATAATTTCGACATATATTATAATTATTTATACTTAAATCAATCAATTAACGAATGGGAACAAATACATTGAAGAGTCAACTATAATTAATCTTTTTTTATAGTTACAAGTATTTTTGTAGTGGTTACTTATAAAGTACCTAATATCATCCATTCATCAGTAATAAATAAGAATATATTATGACTATTTTGAGAATATTCATTTCTAATCTTGCTTAAATAGATATACTCCCTTAGCAATCTCCTAAAATAAATATATTAAATTCTGAAGTTTCTCATTTTCTATATTTCATGTAGAAATTAAAATAATACTAAATTATTATTGAAATTAAGATTGTACTGAATATTGTCGATTTAAATAAATAAATGTAACTTTATATAAATTACTCTAGTCAAAGTACGGTTTTGCATACATATCTCTTATAATCATTCCAATTTCCGCATCAGTGAAAATATGTCGGATAAAAAATTATTCTCGAATAACGATTTCTGGAATCCATCTTAAATTGTAGCATGCAAGGCTTAATTTTTATTGTTCACGTTAACCTTTGCCCGTGTTTTTCATGAATTTTAATGGAAATACAGAATTGCTTTATTATGTTTTTAAGAACATAACATATTAATAGTACAGTACTGTCATAAATATGCTGCTCCAGTAGAAATAATAATATATATTCTATACATACATATAAAATATTAGAGGGCTCCCGGTATTAAGTTACGTCGTAATAGATAATATTGATTAAAATCTGATTCCAAAAAATTTTATAAATAATAATAAATTACAATTCTATTCTTATTGGTTTTCTGGCCTGATTTTTCTCTACTCAAATTATGTACCTGTATGGTACTTTAATGGAACCGTTAATTTTTTTGTGAAATAAATATGTTATTTAGTGATAGATACGTTTGTATAAGACAAATTTTGCGCATTTTGTTAATATTATTAGAAAATACTTAATTTCTAACAATTATATGTTTAAGTTTAGTTTTTAATGTAATTTATTTCGTTTTGTTCTCGAGAAACTAAGAATCAAACAATCTTTGTCTAAATACTCAAGAGACTCGATTGCGGTCCTCAGCAATGAGCCATCGACAAAGAAGTTCCGTGAAATCGGCCTTGTTTCACGGATTAACCCACGAAGGTTGATCTTTAGGGAAGAAAAAACATTCTTTGTTTAACTTACAAAGAGTAGAATATATATTATTTGAATAGTTCTTTCACTTTCATTCTAAAATCGTGACCACATTATTTAAGACTAAAATAAAATGTTCAAATCTATCAAAAACTGATAGTTCATTAAAAAATAATTTATTTAAAATAATTTTAAGAATGGAGACGGCTATATACTAACAATTGTAAGTAGTTATTGGTAAAAAGTAAATCTCAGCTCAAGTATTCCATACTATATTTTACAATAAGTAAACACCACCAAATTGCATCTTAAATCTCTATACGATTTATATAACCGTCCGGGACCCATGAACTGTCTTCCATGGATGGTTATATGTGTCGTTGCCCTGTTTATGACACAATCTGTCTTTCCCCCTAATATATTGGCTATTTTAGAGGTGCTGTACGTGACGATGGCGGGTACGATATATGGACATTTTGTTGTGAAATACATTGGGGCGAAATATACTAAAGGTATCTATATAGGTATACAACAAGACCTTTTTCACATGTGTGAAAAGTGTATTCATGTGAATATACTTAGAGTATAATATATGTATTAGTATATAGTGATAGTGGAAATCACAACATAATACTTTAGAATGTTTAATTTACGTTTCATTTTCATCATTCGCCATTTTATGTAAATTAACCGACTTCAACAAAGACCAGTTGCATTTCAACTATATATTTTTGTACATAAATGACATGATAATTCTTCATTATTGATTGATGTTTAATATTTTTTCTTAATTAAAAAAGCCTTTTTAATTGGATATTTTATACTTTTTAAAATGATAAAATATGATTATATTTCTTTTTTTGCTTAAAATATTAGATAACCATTAATACGATTATTTACATGTTTTTCAACTTTAATTTTCGACAATATATATGTACATATGAGTATAAATATATCTTCAAAAGAGATGCCTGATTAAAAGCAGACAGGTACGAGCACCTGGCGGAAACCGACGATCTTTTATGAAAAGATTTATGAATGTGGGCAGAAGAGGTAATTGATACATCCTTTGCTAAGGATGCTTCTTTTGCAAGATATATAATCAAGTGACTTTCTTAGCTATATACTCGAAAAAAGAAAAATAGAAACGAGTTTATAGCTAATATTAATACCGTTAAAATATTGTAGTCATAGAAAGCTTATACAAACATTTGTACAGGTTTTTAATTATAAATCCAAATTCGAAATTACTTCAAATTCCAACTGTTAGGTACTGTATACTTACATTTAAGTTTTTATTCCGTTTCTTCGAAATATTGGTTTGGAACAGTTGTATTAAAGGCAAAACCACTCCATCTGTTAGGCTTACCAACTTTAAGATCGTGAACAGATGTCCGTGCGGTACGGACCGAACGACCGCAAACTTGCACGCTGGGGGTACCTATAAGATTTATACCTACTATCTACTTCGAAACGTGAAAGTTAAACAGGCTACATACGATCCAGAAATTAGGGACAATATCGGAGCAGTTGCAGGGGGTGTACAAAATTGTCCATCGCCACATTCGTAGCGAAATCAACGAAGATTTCATACCAATTCGCTCACCGACTGATTTTGCCACCTACCAGCGCTGCTACAATATTGTTCCTGATTTTAGAATCGTGTATAGATCAATAAAATAAACATCGATCACAATGGTCGAGAAAAAAATTAAGTAGGTCTTGTCAGTCTTGAAGCAACTTAAAATACTGACATCTATTCCTCTATTTTCGTCTACATCGAAGATATTTTTAACTGCTGTACATTTCACATCTCAAAGTCTGAGTCCGTGTTTTATACGGCATGTATATGACGTTATTCGTTTATGATATTTGTGACATAAAAATTGGAGCTAAAATCCGGCCCTGGAGTGTGAAAATGAGAAAAGTACTTACCTTTAATATCGTGGATTTCATTTACTTTATTTTGTTTCTAATATATATAGTAGTATAATAGCATTCAGCAAACAAATCTTACCTTTTGTTTGAGTAGAGAACAGAGTCAACAGAAAATATTAATAATAAACGCCTTCAATTGTTATTATCAATAGGATGCATTCTCGCTCAGATTGTGTCATTTAAATATATATATATATAAATATTAGGTACACACACAACAAACTTAAATTTATAGAATCTACAGTAACTATATTTCTAATCATTAGCGGAACTACTGAAACTGTGTCATTACATGTGACAAAGGTCGATCGATTTTCCGTAACCGTACTCAAATAGTTCTTTTAAATTCAATTCCCCAGCTATGTGTACCTATATATTTAACATATGTTTATCTATGTATGTATTTAAACGATCGGAATCGGAATTTCTAGTTGAATGTATTTTTTTTATAATGAACTGCTGCGCTATCGCTTTACGCAAGGTCATGACAGGGCACAAGTGGAGGACGAAAGCCCACGAGCACGAGGGCAGGTTAGTTAGCTCATTCTGGCGAATTGACTGAATGGATATCAAGAAGGACCTCGTGAAGGTCGATCTGACCGAATGTATTTACATTGCTAGCAATGGGCCCATTAGTTCCAATACACTTAATCCCATCTCGCCAAATTTGTCATAATTTATTTCTAAGTCTAAAATGTAGCTGTATTGTATTTGTATTACATCTGTATCAATGCCTATTCGTCTATTCTTATCTCATCTATTGCGAAAAAATAGTACTAATACTCTGTGGATATTTTGACTTCTAGTGTAAAATACTTTTCATTGTAATATACCTATTATGTATGAAACTTATACTATCTAAAACTACTGTAAAAATAAAAAAATATTAATGTCTTATTATTATATAAGTTAAACTTACCTATCTACTACTATTTATAGAATCTGAATTGTCATTGAAAAAACTATTTATTAATTATTCACGAATTTGTAGCCTACAGAGAGAATAATTATACTGTATTTTGAATTATTGTCCATTAAATTGTGATATTGCTGTGAACGTTTATTTTAATTGTCCTCACTATAATAATAGTTACATCCCCTACGAAGTTTTAAAAAATACAATTTATTCGTACTTATATTAGAATAGTAGGTAATTATTATAGATAATTAATTTAAACAAATTTTTAAATGCAACTATAATGATTAAAAAGTAAGTTATTTTTAATTTATTATAGTCGTTTATAGTTTAGATAAACATATGTAAATAAAAATAATTTTATAAATTATTCATTAATTTCATTTGATATTTACATATATTTCTTTGCAATGTGTCATTAAAGTAATGGAAAATGTATTATTAAATTTTCAAAATGTAATAATATCGGAATACGATCAATGTCAGTATTTAAATATATATTTTATTTTAATGTATGATGTAAAGAGATTTATACTAAGTCACAAGAATCTTCAGAAGCCATGCTCAGCGACACAATGAATCGTTGTCTACCCTTTGTTTGGATAGGATTATTTCATAAATAACATGGTTTACTGTAGAGACACCCTCGTTACCTACATTACCTTTACAAAGGTCAGGGCAACTATTAAGTGAAACCTTTGAATGAAGAATTAAGGATCATGCGTCAAAATGTCACTCGACGGCGTTAATAAGAAATAATCTGAGTCATGTAATGGCAGAGCACAATTAAAGAGCTATTTATTTATTATTTATAGTGTACACTATAAATAATAAATAGCACTGGATAATTAACACAGCGCTATCTAGTCCCACTGTAAGCAGAGCTCGAGCTATTGGCACTAAATAACTGATATAAATACTTAGATATTTTTTTTGTAATTACATAAATAATGTACTTAGAAAACAACAACAACAACGCAAAGGCACTTTTATATCGCTATAATTTTTTTATGCTTCAACCTAAGATTTAATTCTAAATTTATATTTTTTCAAGACTTAGGTAGTAATTGTGAATGCGAATTTAGGTTGTATTTCTGAACACTAAATCATCTATACTTACTATATGTAGTAATAACAGCATATTGTATATTTGTGTGTATGTTTTTGTTCGTACATGAACAATGGCAATATAATTTTAGAATCAATTCATCGGGTACATGTAGGTGGCGCTTTGTCACATGTCACACCATCACCAGTCGGAATATTAGGAAAGTTTCTAACCTCCGTCTAAAACATTGACCATTATTCACTGTCGCAGGAAATTCAATATGATCCTGTGTAGATTTGAATATGTAGAATTGTGAATTCATTTACAAACTTTAACCATTATTAGATATCGTATTTGAAATAGCTATAATATAAATGTACACAGTACAAAAGAAGTGAGTGAAGACTATTTGACAGACTTGACGCCCTGTAGTATTTTCTACAACATTATTACGTACTAATACTAGGTAGTAGGTAAGTACCTAGTACTATAGAATAATATTTATTATATAGAGAATATTAATGACAAAGTAAATTTATAACAAAATAAGAAACTCGACAGATAATAGTATAATATTTACAAAAATAAGAAATAATTGCATTAGGTACTTCATATGAAAAACTTTTAGTTTGAAATATCATGAAAACTCTTTGACAATAAAATTTCTAATAATTCTCATTCTTCTTTTGATATACCTATGAGTATAGGTACGTACGTAAGTGAAGTGAAATAAATTACCTAAATCTAAATAAAACTTCAACATAAAAGCCAGTGTAATTGTATTAAATTACTTCGGCCTTAATATAAAATGAATGTTAGGACGCAAACCTAACTACACTCACATGACATCATAAGAGCACGCGTAAAGGTAATTTCTAGGGCGACATAAAATAATTAACTAACCAACCTGACACACACATTATGTTCTCAATAAAGAGTCAAGTTAAATACGTAACCTGTTGGCCTTTACCATTCAACCTAGTTATCTAGAGTGTAATATTACAAATGAGAATCAGAAGTTTGTTTGTTTGTTATATCCTGACGACTGAACACCACAACAGCATAAATCGAATAATGGTCATGATATCTTATTCCTTTTATTTTTTATTTAGGATCATAAAGGTTTACAATTAGAAAACTTATAACTATTTTAAATTAACTACGTAGTATACCTATTATTGTAAACCTAACATGCACGATTAGTTGACCACAGATTATATATATATATTAAGTATTAAAATATGTGGGCTTTATATGTATGTATATTATTAGAATTGCAACGCATGAGTGGTATCACGGGTGTCACATGATTACGTGATGTTCGTGAGGTGTGGGGACGGTTACAGTTTACCATCAGGTGAGCTGCCAGCTTGTTTGCTATTCCAATTATATGAAAAACCCATCGGTATGAAGTCGAAAGTAGATTAAAGTAAAGTCTAAAGAGTTTATCTATGACCAAAACCTGAATAAGAATAATAATTAAATTACAACTGTCAGGTAATATAATCTAATAGAATTAACTGTAATTAGTAAATACTAATTCATTAATTTTGTCTATCTTCGTTGCGCAACATATGTAAAATACTTTAAGAGAGTCCTCTTTTTTTTTTTATAACACAGGGTACAAACGAGCATGCGTGATATATGCGGTAGAAAATGCACAGAGGTGCAATATCTCGCCACAAAGCCAATGGGTCGAGTCTGTCACATAGACGTTGATTACCAATGATTCTGGCTGCTCGGTTCTGAATGCGGTCAAATGGAAGTAGCTGGTATTGTGGTGCTCCCGTCCAGAGATGAGAACAGTATTCCATATGCGGCCGGATCTGCGCCTTGTATAATTGCAAGCGATGGGCCGCCGTGAAATACCGTCTCACTCTACTGAGCAAGCTTTTTGGAGGCTATTTTAGCCTTGTCCTCCAAATGACCGCAAAACTGAACGTCACTGGATATATCAACGCCAAGGACCTCGAGATTTGGCTTCACATCAAGTCCTCTTATGGATAATATAAAAAAAAACTAAAAATCCTGGTTACGCCAACGAAGTCACAGTTACAGCTAGTATTGAAATAATCTAGCAACGATTAACTTTTATTATAGAAGTGTGAGTCGGTTATTACTATAATTACCTACCTGTAATATTTATACTTCAGAGGTAACAATTTGTAACACTCATTGGCTACATTTGCGCATACTACGTGTTGCAGAATTAATGTACTTTATGCATCCATTAATTCTGTCACACGCATACTGTGTCAATGTGTTCAGAATCAGCTACAGATGCAATATCAACTATCACAGCCCAGAAACCAGGGCAGTTGATATCACATAATACGGTATGATGTAGATAAAATGTAATTATCCTTCTATTTGCTAAAGGTTAAAAGCATTGAAAACTAAATATCTACGTCACCACGTCAATTACGTCGTTCATTTACGATATATTATTACCAATTAAATATATTGTTTTAGTAGGACCTTGCTTCTTCTCACTCCAGACCATTGTATCACAAACAAACTTCATTTCTAGCTGATTTGCCATTCAGGTAATTAATAAATCTCATTTTAAAGCCAAATTACGGGTTAATTTTCTTCGCAATGTGCAATCATAATTAAATTTTGTGATTCTCCTTCTTTATCTCTTTCTTTTCCGCTCTATTTATCTTCTACTCTGCATCATGTATGGTAATTTTTTTTTGTTTCTAAATTGTGTTATTTTTATATTAATAGATATTATTATACATGCAGATACTGGCACAATACGATTATCCTTACT